ATTTATATGCCTCCCAATCCCAAAGGACTCCGGGCGGCTTACAAAAATACCCGTCATCGGATGAAGTCCAATGTATCTTGCGGGGGAGATTAGTATGATGAGTGAGAAATGATATATCCATATTCCACCTTCCTATTCAAGCTGAATCTGATTTGTTGTGGAGTGAGATTGTGTCAGCCACCTACATTATAGTGTTCACTACATTTGAAGATTGAAGAACAGCTGATAGATAGGGTAGATTTAAAAAGCGAAGAATGATCAGGGGAAATCACTGTCTTCTAAAAAAAAAAATTGGAAAATTGAAAGAGCCTTTAAGTTTGCAGAAGGGAAATTGGAAACCAATCCAGAATTACAGTCTAAACACAACCATCTTTATTGTAGTTGGGATGGAAACATGTGGCAAAATGTAGAAAGTCCAGATGACAACAGACTAACGAAATCCAGAAACATTAAAAAAACAAACCACTGGATTTTCAAGGATCCAATGTGTTTTGGCGTGCTTGATTCCTTGTCAGTGTTAAAACCGGTATTTTACTTTGTCAGGGAGAAATGCTTGACCCAAACAGGAGTTATCTGATTTACTGTGCCTTAATGAACTTCTTGAAGCACATCTGTTGATGCTTACTCCCTGCTTTCTCCTTGTATTTAAGCAATGCAGTAAATGTGTTTTGCTGTTTTCTCTTAAGTGAATTCTGACATAAGTTAATGGATACTCTTCTCTTGAATAATTAACCTTGCCATTTGATCTTTATAAGCTTAGCCTGACCCCTGCTTTCCTCCATCATAGAATAAATGTGTGTAATCATCCAAATGGTTAGTTGTTCTACTTGTATCCCTCCTGCCACCATGCAAGGGTCCGTGTAAATAGAGGACCCCAGTGGTATCCCATCTAGGTACTGATGCCATCCAGATTGACTTAATTTTGGAAAACTCCTGCAACAGGTGCCTTGAGAAGACCTTTCTCAAACTGATGTCTTCCCTAAGTCTTGAATTACAATTGCCATTATCCAGTCAGCAAAGATAAGGAGAAGAGGGTTTGTTTTATCAATGACCTGAGACGGTTCCACCACAAAACCGCGGACAACAAAATCGCTCTCGACGAAAGCGCGTACGTGACGTCATCACAGCGCGACGAAAACATC